CCCTGCCACGCCAGCCCCGGGGGGGTCAGGCCCCTCTTCCCCCACCCAACGGAGCCCCCCCGGACTGATGCCCCGATGCGGGGAGAAGCTGAAACCTTATTTATGGTGGAAAAAGCCAACCCGCACCCATGGGGGGCTATAGGGCTGGGCTGGGGGGCACCCCCGAGGCTGGGACCCCCAGGGTTGTGTCTGTGCCGCTCGGCTCCTCGGCATTGCTGTGGGGTGCTGGGACAGAGGCGTTTGGCTGACGTGGGTTGGCTCCGGGGGGGAAGAGCTGTGACCCCCTCCCCCAGCACCAGGTCTGTGCCAGGGGGGAGCTGGGGGCACCTCGTGGCTTGGCTGCTCCCCTTATCCCCCATCCCGGTCCCTGGCCGGTGGGGACGTCCTGCGCTCGCCCGCTCTGCAGCGAAACTGGTCGATAATAAAAGCGTCCATCTCCCCCCGCGCTGGGACCCGCCTGCTCCAGGGTGTCGGGCGGGGTGGGGGGCTCTGGGGAGAAAGGGGGGCTTTGTGGGGCAGGGAGGCTCCGGCTGGGGAGGAGCAACTGGAGAGAGTGTGCTGCCCCGGGGATCCCGGGATGTGGGGACAATGCATACCCAGGGTGCGGGGATGATGTGTGCCCAGGATCCGGGGATGCCGGGATGATGTGTGCCCGGGATGCTGGGATGCAGGGATGACATGCATCTGGATCCCGGGATGCAGGGATGATGTGTGCCCAGGATCCTGGGATGCAGGGATAACGTGTGCCTGGTATTCAGGTATAATGTGTACTCAAGATCCTGGGATGCAGGGATCATGCGTAGCCAGGATCCCAGGATAGAGGGATGACGTGTGCCTGGGATGCGGGGATGATGTGTACTCAGGATCCCAGGATGCAGGGATGATGTGTGCCCAGGATGCTGGGATGCAGGGATGATGTGTACCCAGGATCCCAGGATGGAGGGATGATGTGTGCCCGGGATGCAGGGATGGGGTGTGCCCGGCATGCAGGGCCGATATCCCCGTCCCCAGTCCAGAGAGGGATTTTTTGGGCCGCGCTACGGTACCCACCTCGGGCACCCCTCCAGCGATGACCACGCCGTACCCCGGCCCAGACGCCTGGGTCCCCTCACCAGGGGGTCCGGCGAGGGGGGCTGGCACTCCGCAGCTCAAAGCCAACCCCCCCCCACCATGGGCGAAGCCCTCCCTTCCCTGCACCCCCTCATCAGAGCCAGGGGGTTATCGCATGCCCTGTAGCATCTACTCCATCATCCTTCCCCGGGCTCTCCGGCCGCCCTGGTAATGGTGGAGGCCTGGATCTGACCGTAATGGAGCTGAATTGATTCCATCTGGCTAATTAGGCAGCGCAGGCAGGGCCCTGGCAGCTCCTTTGTTACCCACCGCGACCCGAGATAAGGCAGAGGAAAGCTGGCTCGCAGGGGAAACTGAGGCACGGCGTGAGGCGGGAGTGGCCGGGGGGTCCTTGGCGGGTGCTGAGGGGCTCGGGGCCGGCACGGCACGTGGCTGAGCTGGGGGGCCGGGGGTGGACACGGCACGACGAGAGCTGGAGGAAACTGGAGCGGTGTCCGGCCCCCAGCCCACAAT